TCAGGTAAAGTGATGTTAAAATAATATCCTGTGTTTCGTGCAGAGAGTGTCGGGCAGCAGCTCCAGGATCAGGATCTTCTACGGAGACGGCGATCAGCAAATTGTCGACAACAACACGGAGTACAGCGGCCGCATCGAGGTGACTTCAGACGGACGGGAGTCAAAGCTCAGCATCCAGGACGTCCGGCTGCAGGACGAGCGCGAGTTCCTCTGCCAGATCAACGGGCTCTCAGCTGGGAACGCCGAGGGAAGGACGCACCTCCGAGTGTTCGGTGAGGAGCGAGACACCATACAAAGAAATATCTCACTCTGATGATTTTATAATTGTTTACATAAATGCAGAACAAACATAAACAAAACCAGAGGCATCCGACTTAAAGGCAGCATGTAATACACATTACAACATATATATATATATATATGTATATATATATATATATATCTCAACTTAATGAAGTGTTCCTGGGTTTCATGATTATTTATTTACTTAAAAGGTCACCTATTATGCAAAATCAATTTCTTCATGTCTCTTCTACATCAACATGTGTCCCCTCTTCTTCATGTCTCTTCTACATCAACATGTGTCCCCTCTTCTTCATGTCTCCTCTACATCAACATGTGTCCCCTCTGTGTCTCTTCAACATCAACATGTTTCCCCTCTTCTTCATGTCTCTTCTACATCAACATGTGTCCCCTCTTCTTCATGTCTCTTCTACATCAACATGTGTCCCCTCTTCTTCATGTCTCTTCTACATCAACATGTGTCCCCTCTTCTTCATGTCTCTTCTACATCAACATGTGTCCCCTCTGTGTAAAGAGATGCTGAAAGTTTCAGGAACAAAGATTCTCTCTCTTTTTGATCCATTTCTATAAAAACCTTTCTGAAAATGAGCTGATGAGATTTTGGTCACTTTATGATGTCATAACGATTTTCGCTTGTATAACCATTAGCCAATCACCAACCAAGGTAAACCCCCCCCCCCCTTATCACCTGAATCTCCTCCTAGAGCACCACTGTGTTCTTTGTAACCAAATATCTCTCAGAGGGGCGTGGGGAGGGGCTCCTTACTTTCATCTAAAGTAACAGACAGAGAATCAGCACTTTTGAAACAGGGCTGAAACAGAGGGGATTATGGGTAATGCCTCGATGATCTGTTTGGTGTTTGAAGCCGAACACTTCAGAGACATGTTTTGTATATATCTGAGACCTATAATATATTGATGAAAAACAGTATAATAGGGTACCTTTAAATGTAGTAGGTACGTTTTATATATCTAATAATATCTGGAACATCAACTGCATTCCATCTAGATTAGTGTACAAATGTGTGTGTGTGTGTGTGTGTGTGTGTGTGTGTGTGTGTGTGTGTGTGTGTGTGTGTGTGTGTGTGTGTGTGTGTGTGTGTGTGTGTGTGTGTGCACTGACCTTCGTTCCTGCTGATTTCTATATCAGCAAACAGGCCAACCTTGATAATCTGCCAGAACAGTCCCAGGACCAGATGGGGTTTCCCAGCCATCAGATCATGGGCATCGATGCTCACCACCGTGCAGCCGATCGCAGAGGCCGAGTTCAGCGCCAGCACCAGATTCTCCTACAAATCAATGTCAATCAAGAGTTTTGCTTAAAGTCAGACATTTCAGAGAGGATACAACAATTAAAATCACTGAAAACACAAATGCTGTGACCAGAAAATCCTTCCAAATTACGAGCAATTCATGAGAAAGATGGATGGCTGGATGGATAAATATCTCCCAACGACAAATAAAAGGACAGATAGGACTATTCCCTTTTTCCCTTTACTTTTCCACAGAGTACTGCAGAGTCAAAAGCCATATATAACTCAAAAAGAGGAAGTATGCAGTAAACGTTAATATTTTACAGGCTGTGTTTTTCACAGTACACGACATCATTGCACAACAAATGCTTTGTCCTCAAGACCTTCCCTTAAAACTGCTATTGTCTTATTTATATATATATATAGTTTATTTACCCGGTAACCAGAGGAATCGTTCGGTCGACTGCTCAATTCAATCAAATAAAATCTATTATGTATTTAAGTTGTTTCCTTCTAACTGTGAGAGATGTTCTTGTCTTCTTTAAAAGTTATCGGCAAAACTAATAGCTTGTGATTAGGTGAATACACTTAGGTTAGAGTGTTAGATAAGAATGTTGTAATCATTCTCATATGTGTGTGTTCAATATGAAGCATTAGCAGCTTAGCTCAGCATAAAGACTGGAAACAGCCAACCTGGCTCTGTCCAAAGGTATACAAACATGCAGCTCCCAGCACATCTGAAGATTTTTTAAAACGCGATGTCTCGTGTGTTTAATCCACACAGAAACTGACGCTTAAAACCTACATTTCTACAGTCTCTGCTGGCTTCCTGGAAACCTCAAAGTGTCTGCAGGAAGTCACTATGTCCAGCACGTTACTCTCACAAAATATGGATGTTTACACTTTGGTTTTTGTACAGATTGAAAGTGGCAAATGTGTGAGGATTAAAGCTCCTGGTGAGTATATTTGCACAATTATAGTTTGCATAGAACCAGGATAGCTGTTAGCAGTCTTCATGCTAAGTTAAGCTAAGCTAATTGGCTTCTTAATAACCTTTCTGCAAACTTCATTAATTTCATAATTGGCAAACTACTCTTTTACAATTCAAAAAGTGATCCGATTCTTTTGAACGGCTCTTTGGTACGAACGAAGGGAACCGAGTCCTACTTGGTGAGAGCAGTTCTTTTTATCGTTGGTCCTTTACGGGAAATTGCTTTCCTGAATGCACATTAGCCATAGATGTGTAGTACCATTACAACACAAGATGATGGCATAACGCATGCTGCTTGAGTAGTAGTTTGGCTGGCTGAGAGATGTAGCAAGTTATACATTTATTCTATGAGTAAAAGTAGAGTTCTGGCAATCCAGTCAATCATTATCCTGGTGATTATTTCGCAGATAAACCCATTAACCCCGCCCCCTTTAAAAAAAGAAAACGGCTCTTTTGAACGGCTCTAAGAAAACAATGGAGCCATAAACCGTAATTCCCATCACTAAATTCTAGTGCAAGTACTTCCTTCAGTATGGATTACCATAAAGGTTACAATGCATGACACATTTCTTAGTATTTGCTGCTTTTTATTACAGGGTGTATGCAGGAATCCTGAAGTCAAATGTAATCCTTTTTTAAGACCTTTTTTAAGACCCTTTCCATACATTTTAAGACCTCATCGCCACTTCGAGTTCTAACCGGTTACCTTGGCAACACACTTTACCTCACATTGACTATATACAGTATTGATTGTCCTTCCTCCTTATCTTCCAACCATTTGGACGCAACTTGCATTTCCCCATAACGATGTTGTTTAACAACCGGCGTAAACGGACCTATCAAGCTATCAAGCAGTGAGCGTGCGATGTCCTGTTCAGATGACGTCAAATCCAACGGGATGCCATAAATAAACTCCACAGAATCACACTACACACCTACGCAATGATTACATTCAGGCAGACTGTAGAATACAACCTCTTTGGACCATTTATATACTTATTGAAAACAAGCTACAAAATGTAATACCTTGGAAAATGCCGTTTAATACTTTCTAAGACCCCGCGGACACCCTGATGTTGCTCTGTTGGAGGAGCCTAGGACTTCAGATTTTCTTTGACATATCTACACTGAAGC